ATAGATGACGGCATGAAGTCCTTAGACATCAGTGCCGCCCTTCACGGGATACCCCTACCTGGCTGGGGTGGGATGGATGAGAAAGTTGTTCATCCGTTAACGGGGGACATGAGGGCCTCATTCGACAGAGTGTCGGGGCCTTCTATATCGGGAGGGGTCGTCTACAGCATAATCTGTGGCTTCCCTAACTAACGGGTATTGTTGGGAGTTGAAATGGACTCCAACATGTCTTGGCACGATAATGTAGCAGGAATTGCAAAGGCTGCTTCTCAAAAACTTGGAACACTGTCCCGAACCAGAAAACTGTACACACCTCAGCAACTTTTGATACTTTATAAAGTTGAGATTAGACCTTGTTTGGAGTATTGTTCACATTATGGAGCTCCGCCCTTGAGCATATCCTGAAGCTGCTGCATTCCATTCATAAAAGAGCCATTCGCCTGTTTGGAGACACGAACATCACTTGCAACCTAGGTAGTCTGGAACATCGAAGAAAGGTTGGAGATTTTGTCTCTCTCTTATAGTTACTTTCACGGAAGTTTTGGCACATTTGATTCCACCAAGAGCGGTACATATCAGTAATACGCGACAGACGGTGGCTTCTTATCGTTTTGAGGTTCAACTCAGTACGCCTCGAACCTCACTGTTTAAGAACTCATTTATCTGGAGAACGGCGTTTATGTGGAATGAACTTCGTGAGTACGTTTTTCCAAATGAATATATTCCTGTATTGCATGTGTTTTGTCCTTAAAAAAATATCTTATCATGGTTTCCTTTCAGTCAGTGTGCTTCAATAGTACTATGCTTTTTATCACTCTCATATTTCCTATGGGGTAATTTTATGGGGTAATGTATCCGACGATTTAGGCTTCAAAAAAAAGCCATCCGGATTATTGCTAATGTTGCTTTCAGAGACCATTGTGAACCTTTATTCCAGAAATTCAAAGTCATGACACTACCTGCTCTTTATATTTTCTACCAAGAATTAGAAATCCATAGTAGAAAAAATAAACTAACTATAAATTCAAACTTTCATGAATATAACACCCGCGGTGCTGGGCATTTCAGATCACAGAGATTAAGATTAAATAAATCTGCTAAAACTTCTCTAGATATTGCTCTCTACAATAAATTACCATCCAGTTGGAAGATTCTAGATATGATTTGCCTCAAAAAAAAAATTCAAAAAGATTTCTTTCAGAAAATGGGTTCTATTCAATTCGTGAGTATATGGACACACCTGTCAGCGATACGCGTAGTTGTAGTTATACCTGAAATAGAAGGAGTACTAGTTTATGTGTGTATGTACGTATATAAATGTGTGTATATGTATATATGTATGTATATGATCAAACTGATACTGTCGGAGATCAGGATGACACAGACTCAAAGAGTGACACAGAATAGAGTTCGAACACCGTGTTGTTATAAACTCGTTCCTTCGGAGATTACAAGGTTTTGTACCTGTACCTAGGCCTCAAGCTTGCCAAGTTTAGGCCTAAACTATATCCATCCAAAAAACAAAGTAACTCCAACAAAGATAGATACGTGATCAAAGCATAATCACCACGCACATTTGCATCTGTTGGGTAAAATGAACAAGCCGCCTTACGCTGGCCAATCAGATTTGATTGCAATCGGCTGGCAGAATTCATTGTTATAGTGTCGGAGTGGTCAGTTACGTTTTAACGCCTGTGGTGTGTACATATACGGTATTTTAAAGTTTGAAATTTTTAAAATGTCAAGTACTGATACGGCTGAAGAAATTGGTGATTTGTGAAAAATGTTCCTTAGTGCGACTCTGTACAAGCAGCCTTGTCTGGAAGATTATGTGTAATATGCATGATAATGCATTTGGAGCTTAGATGAATAGAGTATATACAGTGTGTCCAAGATAAGGATCCTAAGCATGGGAATCTCAGTACCTGTTGGAGATACAGCTTAGGTTAAATTAGGAAAAAGTTGTGTTCTGTAAAGCTTATTTACATGCCGTTTAGAAACTTGAAGAATTTTCATGGCCTGCTGAGATATTTGGGAAAAACGAGAATTTGACAATATCAATTTTATTTTTTTCTGACTTCATTTGAAAAGATATCAAAAAACGAATAACACTTTTTCATTGGCACTTT